TGTTGTGGTGATCCTAACCATAAAATTATTTTTGTTGCTACTTCATAACTGTAATTTTGCTACTGTTATGAATAGTAATGTAAATATCTGATATGCAGGATGTATTTTCATTCACTGGACCAAATTTGGCACAAAGGCCAATATGCCCACATTTGAATACTAGTGGAGTTGGGGCGGGGATTGATTGTCATTTGGGAGTTGTAGTTGCTGGGATTTATAGTTTACTTCTAATCAAAGAGTATTCTGAACTGCACCAATTATGGAATTGAACCAAACTTGGCACACAGGACTTCCATGACCAACAGAAAATACTGGAAGCGTTTGGTAAGCATTGGCGTTGAAAATTTTGGAATTGTAGTTCACCTATATCCAGAGAGTACTGTGGACTCAAACAATGATGGATCTGGACAAAACTTGGCACTGATACTCAATATGCCCAAATGTAAACACTGGTGGAGTTCGGGGGAAATAGACCTTGACATTTGGGAGATATAGTTGCTGTGATTTATAGTTCACCTACAATCAAAGAGCATTCTGAATCCCACCAACAATAGAATTGGGCCACACTTCCCACACAGAACCTCATGACCAATAGAAAATACTGTGTTTTTCGATGCTCTTAGGTGACCCCTCTGAGACCCCCTCATGACTCCCTCAGGGGTCCCAACCTCCAGGTTGAGAAACGCTGATCTAAGAGATGACATGAAAATGCAGTATCCTCAATACAAAGGGTAACAAATATCCTAAAGTAGTTGTAAATCTTAGGCCTGGGTAACAACGGAAAAATTTGTTTCTAAAATCGATTTGTATTTGGGGTTTTTTTTTGTTTCGATATTTAAAATAATTACAAAATTTTCCTTTTAAAAAGTTCGATATTTACGAAATTTCATAAATGGTAAAAAATTAACGAATCGATTTCCGAAACAATAACGAATCGATTCGTTAATGGCGGACGCGACCGCGAAATACGCTAAAAAACCTCCAAAACCTTCTGAAGCTTCCCTCTCCCTCTGTTGTTGACTGTTGGTGTGATATTATAATTTTTTTTCACTAATTAAACCATAAAACTGGCCCAGACATGCGGAAATAATAACGAAACGACCTCAAAACAATAACGAAACGAATACAATCTCGAAATACGAAGCATTTACAAAACGTTTTTGAAAATTCGTTTTTTTTAATAATTGCTCCAGAATGGTTCGTTATCGTTTTGTAATTGAAAAAATTAACGAATTATTAACAAATTACGAATTAACGAAACGAAACCGCCCAGCCCTAGTAAATCTAATAATTTTATTAAGATAAAACACAAAAAGAGCTGTAAATTTCTTTAACTGCTTCTTATCTTCTTTTAAAAGTTTGGAATATGCAAATATTTCATGGCACTTTATGCCACATGCAAATAATTTTAAGTATCCGGTGGCCTGATTGCAAAAAGGTAGCACACACATGTGAACACTGTGTAACAATATGTTTCTCCCAAAAGAGAACACAACTTTGTGTAAACACTTTCAAGACATAAATAAAAAAATCTTGCCTGTACCTGTGTCCTCCAGACCAATCTTTCACACATTTATTCAGAAATACCCCACAAATTCAGGGTGGCATAGCACTAAGAAACTGTCCGGGGGGGGGGGGGGGCAACCTGAATGTTAACCAAATTGGTTACTTTCATTCTGTCTTGCATAAATGCACTTGCACAAATATGGCAATAAAGAACAAAATGCACAGTATTGTAAAGTCACAGGCAAACTAAAAGGAACCCCTGCTGCTTCACTTCTAAAGAAAAGACTGTAATGAACTAAACTTCTAATTCAATGAGCTAAACAGGTAATGGCTTCAAGTGTATATGTGACAACATCTCGGATACTGATCAAAATCAGTCTTTCTTACTGGAACACAATGGACGCACCTCATTTCGTAACCAAAACAAGCATAACAAAACCCATTACAGAAGACATCAGCTCCTTCAAAGGGTATAATCAGAATAATAATATTTTATTCTAGATCAGGCATGGGCAAACTTGGGCCTTCCCTCCAGGTGTTTTGGACTTCAACTCCCACAATTCCTAACAGCCTCAGGCCCTTTCCTTTTCCCCCCTCAGCCGCTTAAGCGGTTGAGGGGGAAAAGGAAAGGGCCTGAGGCTGTTAGGAATTGTGGGAGTTGAAGTCCAAAACACCCTGGAGGGCCCAAGTTCGTCCATGCCTGATCTAGATTATCACACTAGACCCATTACTGCTTTTTGGCTCACAATCTCTAGCACAAGATGCAGTTACCACTATGAATTAAAGGGTAGGAAAATGTGTGCCTGAACTTACTTTAAAAGTAAGTACGAAAAGTACACAAAGCAGCATGATTGATTTACTAGTTGCCTCAGTCACAAGTAATTGTTTTCTCATACAACTTTCCTCTCAATAGACCTCCTTCCAAAACATTATTGTTTTATGGTTTTAGGACTCTATGTGCCTCTCCCTGGATATTGATCAAGTTCAGTTTCCCTATCTACCAACCTTCTCATGCTAGAAATTTGTCAGATCCTGCACCTCCAGTCTGCAGCCAGCAACCCCACTTGCTTTAGAATAATGGATTCTTTTGTTAAAGTCCTCCCCTTGTCCAGGTATAAGTTGTAGGTCAGCGGCTGTAGGGCAACTACTGCAGAATATATTTTCCTTCTCAATGCACATGTATGTTGCAGGAGGCAGCTTCGAGGCGAAATCTATTATTATTCCAGGCCTTGAGACCCAGCCCATTACAAAGTACTGGCCCCCTCTCTTCATTGTGAGCACTGATCTGGAAACGCCAAGCCACGCCACAAGGAAACCGTAACATCTGCTGGAAAATGAAGAATAACACAACCCAAGGAGAGGAAGCAAGAAGGCAGACACCTGAGAAAGACTTCGTCTTCTTCACCTTGCATATGTTTGGAAGTTGGGAGAAAGCAAAATAAGTGGGAATTGTATACAGCTAACCTTGTATATGTTTGGAAGTTGGAAGAAAACAAAAGGAGCAGGAATTGTATACAGCTAATCTAGTTTGTATGCGTGTGTATTTATATATACGCACACACAAGTCCTGAGTGCATGATGTCCTTCAGCAATGGTACATAAAAAGTTCACGGAAACTTTTTCAACTTCAAAGCGATCTGATTTGTTTTGAACGCTAAGCAATGTTGCTCTTTCTAAATCACAGAATCATAAAGTTAGAAGAGACCTCATGGGCCATCCAGTCCAACTCCCTGCCAAMAAGCAAGAYCATCAAATTCAAAGCACACCCGACAGATGGCCATCCAGCCTCTGCTTAAAAGCCTCCAAAGAYGGAGCCTCCACCACACTCTAGCGCAGATGTCCCTATAGTACATGCTATGTATGATTTTCTGTATTATTTTWAAAAATTGGACTTCTATGCGTTGTTTTTTTGTTATTTACAAACTTTTACAACTTCTAGTGTGTTTTAAGAAAGAAAACTCAGGGAAGTTTTCTCTGGTGATGATTATTTTCCCCTATTAGATAAAAAATCRCTTCCACACAGTTGTATAAAATCCGRACTGAACTGTATTATGTGGAAGTGTGGACTCYGAAAACCCAGGGCCCTTTATCCCAGAATATCAAGGCAGAAAATCCCACAATATCTGCTTTGAACTGGGTTATCTGAGTCCACACTCAGATAATATGGGATTTTCTGCCTTGCTATTCTGGGATATAGGACTGTGTGGGAGCCCAGTTCAAAGCAGATATTGTGGATTATCTGCCTTTATATTCTGGGTTATATGGATGTGGAAGGGCCCTTATATACATACTTGGGATCCTTTCACACAGCCCTATATCTCAGAATATCAAAGCGGAAAATCCCACATTTTCCGAGTGTGGACTCAGATAACCCAATTCAAAGCAGATATTGTGGGATTTTCTGCCTTGATATTCTGGGATAAAGTGCTGTGTGGAAGGGCCCCAAGTATGTATATAAGGGCCCTTCCACACAGCCATATAACACAGAATATCAAGGCAGATAATCCACAAAATCTGCTTTGAATTGGGTTATCTGAAGGCCCTTCCACACAGCCCTATATCCCAGAATATCAAGGCAGAAAATTCCATATTGCCTGAATATGGATTCAGATAACCCAGTTCAAAGCAGATATTATGGAATATAGGGCTGTGTGGAAGGACCCTGAGTCCACACTCAGATAATGTGGGATTTCCTGCCTTGATATTCCGGACATAGGACTGTGCAGAAGGGCCCTTAGACACATATGAAAAGCAATCAATTGCAAAACAGAAACTTTGAGCACGAAATCACTTCCTCTCCCTAGATTGGGGTAAATCCCACATACGCAGTGGCTTCCATAGACACCTTTCTGTAAGACGGTTATTTCCCAGTTATGGCAACAAGTTTTCTTTTCCCCCCTTGAACGGCTTGGAAGAAAGAGCTGGATTCCATCTTCTTCTTTTTTCCTGTCCCGCCACACATGTACAGGAGTGCCAGGAGAGCGGAGAGGAGAGAAGATGGCCGTTTCTGATCCTGATATAAAAGCCCTTTTGTTGCATTGACACACAAAAGCCAAGACTCGCCTTTTCATCTCTGGGCCCTGAAGGAAATGGACAATGGCAAAGGCAATGGGCCTCCTGCTCTACATGGTGGGGGAAAACAAGAAGCAGCAAAGATTTGATTTCCACCCCAAAAAAACTTGGGGAAAGAAGACCAAAAGAAAGTTCAGAAGTAGCATTATTGATATCTATATGCCTATATAGATATTGGAGAATGGGAAAGGCTTGGGAGAAGCAAGGTGGGATCCAGCCGTGGCTCTCTTGGTGGGTGCTGTTCAGCAGCCTCTTTTGTGCCTTGGGTAGAGGAGGAAATGTAATCCCAGCAGGTCCACCACCGAGATTGTTGAGTTTTGTGAAAGGAGGAGAAAAAAAAAAACCAAGAGGAAAGAAAACACAACCAACCAGTTGATCCGTTCAGGAGCAGCAAAAGGAGCAAGCTGGCTGTGATCACTTACTTGTCCGTCTCTTGTGACATGTTTGATCCAATGAACTCTCTCCCCTTTTCCAGGTGCCTCAGTCTCGCTGGTGGAACTGGACTTTCAAGTCTGTGCAGGTGAAGGTGTGTGTGTGTGTGGTGTGTGTGTGTAGAGGTGTGTGTGAGAGAGAGCGAGCTCCCAGGACGGCAGAACCAGAGCTACTGGTAATTCTGCTTTTGGTTCCCCCCCTCTACTTCTCCCTCAACCAGCCGCGCAGGTAGGAGTGGGACAGGTAAGCGCCCCTTCTCCCCGCCCCTTGCTCCTGCCTGGGCCACTCAGACTGGCGGAGCTGGCCCTCTCCAGCAAGCTCTCCCGGCCTCCCTCCCTGCCTCCCTCCCACTTGCTCTCTCGGGCTTCGGCAAAGGAAGCCGCCGCCAAGACCTCAAGGCGCCTGCAGGTAACTTTCCTCCCAGGAGTTGGATTCTTTCACTCAGCAGAGGGACGAGCTGCGAGCTGATTGGGCGGCGCGCGCTCCCAAGGTGAGCAGCCATTGGAAGAGGCGCGCTCAGGTAAGGCCTGGGCTTAGAACTCTCAGGGAACTTGGTGGCCTCTGCGGGGAATCAGGCCAGCCGCAGAGGGAGAGAGACTCTCTCTATACATAGGGCGTTGGAGAGGAAAAAGAGGGGTATTTGGACTCGGGTTTGGGGCCAAAGCAGGTGGAGCCGCTTTGAGAGATCTTCGCCTCGGCATGGAGTTGTTTCCAGCCTGACAACCAAGAAGAAAGAAGGAGAAATGGACTCGAAAGAGCCGACTTCTAGAGAATGAATCCACTTTAAATCCGGTTTCTGCCTCCTGCAGAATCCTGGGTTTTGTAGGTTAGAGAGGAGCCTGAGTGCATGCCTTGTATGGAGAAGATTCCAAATTCAAACCTTCAGGCAGAGCTAGAAAGTGCTGAAACCTGCTATAACAGTATAAATCCACTTTAAATCCGGTTTCTGCCTCCTGCAGAATTCTGGGCTTTGTAGTTTAGGGAGGAGTTTGAGTGCATACCATGTATGGAGAAGATTCCAAATTCAAACCTCCAGGCAGAGCTAGAAAGTGCTGAAACTGCTTTAACAGTATATACTACTAGTCTAGATGGACAAAAGTTATGATAATGTGTGACTACCTCATCACACTAAAGAAAGAATCCACTTTAAATCTGGTTTCTGCCTCCTACAGAATTCTGGGCTTTGTAGTTTAGGGAGGAGCCTGAGTACATGCCCTATATCGAGAAGATTCCAAATTCAAACCTTCAGGCAGAGCTAGAAAGTGCTGAAACCTGCTATAACAGTATAAATCCACTTTAAATCCGGTTTCTGCCTCCTGCAGAATTCTGGGCTTTGTAGTTTAGGGAGGAGCCTGAGTACATGCCTTGTATGGAGAAGATTCCAAATTCAAACCTTCAGGCAGAGCTAGAAAGTGCTGAAACCTGCTATAACAGTACATAATGCTAGCCTAGATGGACAAAAGTTATGATAATGTGTGACTACCTCATCACACTAAAGAATGAATCCACTTAAAATCGGGTTGCTGCCTCCTACAGAATTTTGGGGTTTGTAGTTTAGGGAGGAGCCCTTAACAGCCTCACTAAACTACAAACCCCAGAATTCTGAAGAAGGAAGAAACCGGATTTAAAGAGGATTCATTCTCTGAGGTCCTAGAGAGAGCACAAAGCACCTGCCATTTTATGGACCTATAAAACAAGGGCAGGGTGACCGAAAGAGGCACCTTTCTTCCACATAGTCTTCTTCATCCACCTCTCTCTTACTCAACCGGCATTCCTGAGGCCTTGGGTTGGTGTTGGGGAGAGAGAAAGAGAAGAGATTGTGGGTTTCCGACTTGTAACAGCAGGATTGATGGCCCTGCCCAAGACCATAAAAGGCTTATCCTCAGCTGTGAACCTCATTTTGTGTGGATTTGGACACTTAGGTGGTTAGGGGTAAGGGAAAAGCAAACAGATTTAGCTGCTTCCCACCTGTTTCTTCAGTAGATAAACTTAATCAACTTGCAGCCCAGAGGTGAAGTTTTTTAAATAAATAATTGTACTTCAGCGCTTAAGCGACTGAGGAGAAAAAGGAAAGGGTCTGAGGTGTTAGGAATTGTGGGAGTTGAAGTCCAAAACTCCTGGAGGGAAGGCCCAAGTTTGCCCATGTCTGATCTAGAACAAAATCCTGATTATACCCCTTGGAAGGAGCTGGTGTCTTCTGTAGTGAGTTCTGTTATGTATTTTTTGGTTACGAAATGAGGTGTGCCCATTGTGTTCCAGTAAGAAAGACTGATTTTGATTGGTATCTGAGATGTTGCATATGCGCTTGAAGCCATTATCTATTTAGCCCAGCAGTTCTCAACCTGTGAGTCTCCAGATGTTTTGGCCTTCAACTCCAATTAATCCTAAAAGCTGGTAAACTGGCTGGGATTTCTGGAGACCCACAGGTTGAGAACTACTGATTTGGACCACTGAATTGGAAGTTTATCTCAGTCCAATCTTTTATTTAGAAGCAAAGCAGCAGGAGTCCTTTTTAGTTTGTTTGTGTCTTTAAAATACTGTGTATTTTATTCTTTATGGTCATATTTGTGGAAGTGCATTTACACAAGACAAAATGAAAGTTTTGGTTTAATGTCAAAACCAATTCAGTTAACATTTGGGTTGCATTCCCATGGACAGGAAAGGAAAGGGCCTGAGGCTGTTAGGAATTGTGGAAGTCCAAAACACCTGGAGGGCCCAAGTTTGCCCATGCCTGATCTAGAATAAAAGGGTATTATATTGATTATAACCTTTGGAAGGAGCTGATGTCTGCTTTAGTGGGTTTTGTTACGTATTTTGGTTACGAAATGAGGTGTGCCCATTGTGCTCTAGTAAGAAAGACTGATTTTGATCAGTATCTGAGATGTTGCATATACACTTGAAGCCATAATCTATTTAGCCCATTGAATTGGAAATTTAGCTCATTCAAGTCTTTTCTTTAGAAATGAAGCAGCAAGAGTCCTTTTTAGTTTGTGTCTTTATAATAATGTGTATTTTATTCTTTATTGTCATATTTGTGGAAGTGCATTTACGCAAAACAGAATGAAAGTTTTGGTTTAATGTCAAAACCAATTTGGTTAACATTCAGGTTGCATCCCCCCTTCGACAGTTTCTTAGTGTTATGCCCTCCTGAATTTGTGGGGCATTTCTGAATAAATGTGTCAAAGATTGGTCTGGCAAGGTTTTCTTATTTATGTCTTGAAAGTGTTTGCACAAAGTTGTGTTCTCTTTTGGGAGAAACATATTGTTACACAGTGTTTGCATGTGTGTGTTACCTTTTTGCAATCAGGCCACCAGATACTTACCATAACATTATTTGCATCATGAAATATTTGTATATTCCAAACTTTTAAAAGAAGATAAGAAAAAGTAAAGAATTTACAGCTCTTTTTGTGTCTTATCTTCCTGAAATCATAAGATTTACAACTACTTTAGGCTATTTTATAAAGTTAGCCTTTGTGTTGTAAAAATGTAAAGGTTTTTCCCCAACATTGAGTCCAGTCATGTCCCACCATGGGGATTGGTGCTCACCTCCGTTTCTAAGCTGAAGAGCTGGCGTTGTCTGTAGGTCATGTGGCTGGCATGACTGCATGGAGCACCGTTACCTTCCTGCTGGAGCGGTACCTATTGATCTACTCACATTTGCATGTTTTCAAACTGCTAGGTTGGCAGAAGCTGGGACTAACAGTGAGGGCTCACGCTGCTCCCCAGATTTGAACCTGTGACCTTTTGGTCAGCAAATTCAGCAGCTCAGTGATTTAACCCACTGTGCCACCGGGTTGTGGATACTGCATTTTCATATCATCAATTTTACATCTTCATCACACTAGAGAATTAATCCAGTTTAAATCCGGTTTCTGCCTCCTGCAGAATTCGGGGGTTTGTAGTTCAGTGAGGCTGTTAATGGCTTCTCCCTAAACTACAACCCCCAGAATTCTGTAGGAGGCAGAAACCAGTGGGTTCATTCTCTAGTGTGATGAGGTCCTTAATTAGATCAGTGATTCTCAACCTGTGGGTCCCCAGATGTTTTGGCCTTCAACTCCCAGGAATCCTAACATCTTACTTTGTAATGGCAGCCATGTTTTTGTGTCAGGAGCGACTTGAGAAACTGCAAATTGCTTCTGGTGTGAGAGAATTGGCCATCTGCAAGGGCATTATCCAGAAGTGCCCAGATGTTTTGATGTTTTACCATCCTTGGAGGAGGCGTCTCTCATGATCCCGCATGGGGAGTTGGAGCTGACAGAGGAAGCTCCTCCACATTCTCCCTGGATTCGAACCTCCAACCTGTCATTCTTCAGTCGTGCCAGCACAAGGGTTTAACCCAACAGTTAATTAATTTTCTGCAATTTTTAATCTGATATTTGGAGATCAATTGTCCCTCATGGAGACTGTGCAGAAAGTAATGGGAAACACAGTGGTGAAAACAAAGACCAATTCATAACAACTCTCTACATCAGGTAATTCAATCTAGCTGGCTAAGCGGCTGAGGGGGGAAAGGAAGGGGCCTGAGCCTGTTAGGAATTGTGGGAGTTGAAGTCCAAAACACCTGGAGGGCCCAGGCTTGCTCATGCTTGTAAATGCTGTCTTCTCTCCCTTTAAGGCCTCCAATGTATTCACTGGTTCTCTAACCTCAGTGATAAAATGTAGGGACATTATTATTTCAGGCTGTTGATGTGCCGCAAATGACAGAAGCCAGTATTAATTGTTAGGTGGGCTAATAAAAAATGTTTGTGAGCTATTAACTTTTATGGCCTGGCTTCAAAGGCAGAAATCATTATGAAATTTTCACTGCCATCAAAAGGAGTGATGGCCACAGGCTTGGTGGTTTCCAAATAAAAGGCTTCTGATGGCATGAGAAAAAGTCTCAATGATACTAGTCTTTGTAGTGGAATCAATCCTATGTTATTAATTATGGGCCCTTCCAGACATGCCCTATATTGCAGAATCTGATCCCAGGTTTTCTCTTTATCCCAGATTATCTGGCCATGCAGACTCATATAATCCAGTTTAAAGCAGAAAACCTGGGATCAGATCCTGGGATACAGGGCATGTCTGGAAGGACTGTAAATTATTCAACATATTGGAGTAAACAGAGATATTTATTATTTATCTATTTAAAACTTTTATATCCCAGTCTTCTCTACCTCCGTGGAGGGACTCAGACCAGCTAACAGCAGAAATTCAATGCATAAATACAACTAAAAACATCACAAAATCATAATAAG